AATAGAGTGCTCTTGTAAATTCAGCCCCCTCAGAAGCTGAGGTTGTAATATGGTCAGCCCAGCTCTGAGTCAGCTGATGAAACAGATAGGAAAATCATCTGCCGTGAAGTGAGTTCCTTTTGCCTTTGGCCCTGACCCCTGCCTTGGCAGATGCCAACAGGAAGGAAGAAGTGAGTGGAATGGCAATAGGGAGCTCCGCTGATAACCCCAAAGGGTCATCAGATTTTAAACCCCAGTCTGGAGCCTGAGCCAACGCCACCAGCCTGGCTTCAGGGAGAACCCTCAGCCTCAAACATCCTCCCCATCCCAGTCAGGCCTCCTGCAGAGAGGCCTCACCCCAAGTCCCCAGAGATGCCCATTCACAATGGTAATGCTAGGCCACCCAATCTTCTTTCTGGATCAATTACAAAATAAAGCACAACTGCCTGTGCTCAGGGCCACATCGCCGCCTCCTCCACAGCAGGGAAACACACCACTGTACAGTATGCGGCCTCGCCTTCTCTCACTTTCCTCCCTTCCTCACACTACTCTAATGAGACTAAAAAGCTTCACTTCTTACCCTTTTCCTAGTGTTCCTCGCTGAGAACTTATTTATTTTAATCCTGAATAAACAAATGCCCCACTGGTGCCATTACTGTCCCTTTGTGCACAGGCACCCCAGCTCCCTTTACCCAGGACATTTTGGCGCCATATGCAGGAATCTTGTTGGAATAACCATACGACTGTCTAGGCTGTCAATAGTGCAGTGAGACCCGGTATATTTGTACAACGTACAATCCACGATACCACTGGCCAAGGACACTCGAGACTTACACTGCGGACCTTCTACTTGCCTAGTTTGAATTTTTATAGCTTTTACTATAAAGATGATGCATGTGAATATCTAATGAAAGTCATAGATTGGAATGGAAACTCCCCCCACCTTCTACTTTGTATCAAAGGAATTAACGAGCTCTCTTTGGGTACCCCAAGCTATTGAGTCCTTTTACCCAAACAGAGCTGAATACCTGTAGGATTGACCGCTTTTTTTTTTTTTTTTTTTTTTTTTTTTTGTATTTTAGAACAGGGTTTACAGGGTCTACATGATCTCACTAAGTAGATAGGAGTCATAGTGATCCACCTGTGTTCAACCTCCCAAAAGCTGGCATTACAGGCACTTGCCACCACACCCAGTGTCAATCGCCAGCTCAGTGGGCCCCAGGGGAGAGGTTGCCATGGCAGGCTGGGGATTGAACCAGCTAGCAGGCACTTTAATCTACTGAGCTATTTGTCCAGCCTGGACTGACTGCATTTAAAAGCAAAATTGTGCCTGGGCATGGTGGCGCACACCTATAATCCCAACATTCAGGAGGCTGAGGTAGGAGGATTGCTGTGAGTTCAAGACCAGCCTGGGCTACATGGTGAGTTTAAAACCAGCACATACTGCACAGGGAGACTGTCTCAAAAAGACAAAACAAAACAGCAAAAGTGTAGGTGCCTGAGTAGTGCCTGCCATCAGCCATCCCCACAATCCCCTAGACAGCCAAAGACTGAGAGAGGCATTTGCACCAAGCCCCTGCTTGCCCCCTGGCTTCACACCGAGGGAATGCCTGCTCAATAGGTACCCCCCCACCAGTGGTGCTCTGGGTCAGTGGGGGAGTTGGCTCTCCTCTGGTGCCTCTTTGTCTGCCTGTTCACCCAGCCAAACATCCTTGGGCTCAGAACACACTGTGGAGGAACATTCTGTTCCAGATTTTGGGGCTCTTTGCTTCTCTCTTTGTGGAGTGTGGGGAGTGGGATAAAGAATGAAATGTTTTTCTGTTTTCTCTAGTGCTCTCTCTCTGCCATTTAGGAAAGCCATGATCAGGATCAGAGGACCCTTCTGTGGCCTCTCTTACAGAATTCCTGAGGGCAGGCACTGCCCAATTACATATGCTAGAAGAGTAAAATATTTGTGAAGTTAAACTACCTATTCATAGATCACTATTGAGTAGCAATCAAAATGAAATCATGTGGCAATAATTTCTAAGTCCAACATATAGTCAAAGGGAACTTGTGTGTGTGTGTGTGTGAGAGAGTGTATGTGTGTGTGTGTGTGTGTGTGAGTGTATGTGTGTGTCTGGGCTTGTCTGTGCCTATGTGTACGCTAGGAATTGAAGCAAGGAAGTGAGGAAGTGCTAAACTACACCCACTTTTTTTTCTTTGCCAGTACTAGGGACTGAACCCAGGACCTTCACACTAAGCTACACACACCCTTGGGCCCTTTATTGGTTTTATATTTTGAAGTAGTGGACAATTTACCCAAGCTAAGTTTGAACTTGCAATCCTCCTGCCTCAGCTTTCTGAATATATAAGATTACAGCACTGCCTTTACCACCAGCTTGAGCCAGACACATATTAGAAATACTTGTAAATGCAAAATATTATAGAGAAATATTTAAAATGAATCATTAGCCATAGCTTTGCTGTCTTCTTCCCAATTTCTTCACCGAGTCCTTAATCTCTTTTCACATCTATTTAATAAGCCACCTCAAATCATTCCAGAAAAGAAGAGACTTACCATGAATAAAGAGAACTATTGGATCTTGACCTTGTCATTCCTACCTTCCAGCACAGGTGGGACTGCGCACCATAAAATGTTTTATAAAAAATGGAAGACTACACCAAAACTGTTGCGGGGCTGGAGGGGTATGTCTACACGTCCAATAAGAAATACAGACAAAAATTACTCTACGATCCCACGAGTCTCCTGGAAATACAAATAAACATGGACAGAGAAGTTAGAAAGAGAGCTTTCTAGGAGTGCGAAATCCATGGAGACAGAAGCGAAGGAGAGAAGCTCTCCCCTGTCCATTAGTGACTGCAGCTAAGTGGAGAGACAGAAGGCGAGTTTGCTGAGAAGAGGGAGAGAGAGAGCAGAGGAGAGTGAGGAAAGACACAGGAGATGCGTGGCAGGGAGCAGTGTCAGGGCATCAGCCCTCCGCACAGATACTCTGTGCAGGACACCAGGACACACTGGCAGGAGAACTAAGAAAAGGGTGCAGTTAGCACACCGCGAACACCTGGGTGCTCTCCTGGGGGCTCCCAGGTGTCTCCACACTCACAGCTGTGCCCCCTCCGAGCGCAGCATCGGTGGGAACGTTTCCCCTGGTTTAAGCTGAGGAAAAAAAAAAAGAACCATTCAAGAATCTTCAGAGGTACAACAATGCTTATTGAAAGGGGTGACCGCAGAACCATGGCACTCCATGTGCCGGGCACAGTGCGTAGAGGCATCCGCTCTCCCCATGAACTTATGAAAGAAGCAAAGTTTTCCCACTTTACAATGACAAATCTAAAGTTCAGACAGGGTGAGTAACATCCCTAAGGTCACACAGTTAGGGATAAAGTCCGTATTCAAGCTCAGGTTTACCAGACTTAGAAACCCCTGTGTTTTGTATTACCTTGTGTGTACCAGATGACGAAGCCGTTTTTTTGCAACCTGCACTTAGGGTGTGGCTTTACAGAACCCTGGGCAGAGGCCAGGAGGGGAGAGAGGGCACAGAGGAGGCAGCTCTGTGCAGAGGAGCTGAGGCTGGCTGCATACCCTCCAACTTCCCCGGGGCCAGGGCCAGGAGGCTGATGGGTACCACGTGGAAGTAGCTGCGGGAGGAAGCCCATAACTGTCCTGATGGTTGGGTTAATTGACTTAATGAATGAAGGAAGCCAGCAGAGGCAGAAAGGAGAGACACTGCACAGTGCCAGAGTGATTAACAGTACAAAGTGTGACGTCAGACTTTGGACAAGTCATTTAAGCTCTCCGAGCCTCAGTTTCCTCATTTGCCAAATAGAAATACTGGCTACTACCTCATACGGCCTGAGTGGTGGCTAAACGACTAATGCAAAGTGCTCAGCACTGGGCCACCTGCGGCAACGTTTATCATTACCTTGTTATAACCCTTATCATTATAATGCTTATCATTACTAGCACGACCATTATCACTGTTATCACCGAGGGGCATACCGAACTCCAGGGAACCATTCATTCCCAGCAGGCCCCACACTGGGCTCTGGCCACTGAGACAAAAAATGTTGAAAGGAGATTTGCCTGAACCTCGAGACTCTCGTCATGAGCCCCACCCGTGGGGTCCCTCGAGGGACCCAGACACAGTAGCTTGGGCTGGGGCACCCGCTCGGAGGAGGCCCCTGTCCCTGGCGCTTGTCCAGAGGGCAGAGCCAAAAAGTGAGGCTGGCTTACTGAGGGCCGATAAAGACAGTATCTACACCTGCAGAGGGTGGGAGGCCCAGCTCCCACCCTCCTGTGAGGATTATTTTAAAATTTTGTGCTCACACAAGTGCACCAAAGCACAAAGTTACAAGTTATGACTGGGAAAGGAAGGAATTTTCAGGTTCACTTTCCATGCCCCTGCTCTGGAATGCTTGCCCCCAAACTTTTAAAAGATAGCAGATTTCACCCTAGGATTCTCACCTAGAAAGAGGACCAGTCCAGGGAAACACTTGTCTTTTTGCTTCCTCCAGGCTAGGAAAAGACCATTAGGCTTGGAGAAAACAATCTCCACCCTCTTGTCCACCACCTCCTCGCATGCCCACCTCCCCGCACGCCCCTCAAGCCTTGCCGCTCCTACACTTGTCCAGAAACTGTGTCGCATTCACAAACATTCCAGCCCACAGCAGCCACTTCACACTCTGCAGCAACCTGTCTGGTGGAGTTCAGTTTAGCAGACACTGTACAGATCCTTTTTGGCTATAAATCTTTCCAAAAATATGGCAGGGTGGGGCATAGGGGTTAAAGGAAATGGCAGGAAGGAGAAAAAGATGCATTTGTCCCTGAGCAAAGACCTCAGAAAGCTGGGGAAAATGATAGCAAAGCTGCTGGCACCAAATCAAGGAAAAGAAAGAGCCATCAGGTCCCAAGCCAGGGGCCAGTCCCCAGCATTGCGTTGGCACTGGTGGCTGAAGTGGGAGGGGAAAGCCAGCGCAGATATGCAGAGGCTCCAGTATAAAAGGGCTAGGTGCCTCCCAGGGCACCATCCTGCCGCACTCTCCCTTTCAGCAGAGCCTGACAGGTCTTTATCAGCCGGTGCCTTCTGCCACAGGGAAGCCACAGGAGGGTAAGTGTCCCCCTCCTTCCTGTTAATTTCCAACTGCTCATTGTTGAAACTTGGCTTCTGAGTCCCCTCTAGTTTTTGCTTCTTTTCCCCTCTTTTCTTGACTTAATGGAGAAATATGACTGAGAGTGCAGGAGCTGAGGAGAAGCAGCAGAGTTGGAGTGCTGCAAGACTAGAAAGCAATTCACTTAGGCTCCCTTCTGGAAGCTTAAAAAGAATGACTTTATTTGCAACATCTGAGCAGGCAGGGTGGAAGAGGACTTTCCCTAAGGCTTCCACTCTGCATGCTAGCACTTCTGACTTCACTAACACTCGGGTCAGGGTGCGCTCAAGACAACTAAGTAAAGGCGCAGACAAGCATTTATACTACTCAAAGAGAAAAAGGGGGTCCCGGGAATGGCCCTTTCCACTGATGAGCTTCTGGGCTTTTCTGCCTGGGCTGCCACACCGAAGGGAACGAACGAGTTTGTGTGCATGCACGGAGAACTGTTCAGTCCCAGTTAAAGCCGTGAATTCAGCAGCCACCTGCAACTGCATTTTCTGGCGTGTAAAATTTATGGCTTCTAGGAGAGGTTTCTTGTGAGGTGGCAAATGTTTTCATCCGAGGCAGGGATACCTGAAGCATTTCCTTTGTTTCTCATTACAGCTTAACAAGAGCAGAGACCTTCCTGCCACTTGCAATAAGAAAACTATCTAAAATAAAGATTACAGTAAGTACCAAATAAATGTCAGTGCTGAAAGCTTTTTTAGTATGATAGAGCATGAGTGTTATAATGTTTCTTTCTATATCCATATCTAAAACTTTGTATTAACTTTTGAAGTGATCGTTGAGGCACGGAACACTTAAAAGCTCTCGGATATTTCCAACTGTGCAAAGTTTTAAGATATGCTGTCAATAGAATGAGTTTAATTTCACGTAATAAAATAGGAATGTCAGCTATACTGGAGTCTTGAGGTTGCCTCATGCTAGAATGCTAAGCAGTGTCTCACTCTATTAGCAACTGGGCTATGAAGAGCTCTTTCCATCTCCTGCAGGAAAGCCTATGAGGTGTAGCTTCCAGCATATTCTTAGGTTGTTAACTTCAGCACAAGCAAGCTTTGTTGTAGCCATGTGGGTGATGCAAGAGAGTCAGACTCCCTTTGAGGTATGGGGACATGTTTGTTTATCAGAGGGTAAGTGCTTCCTGCCAGGACCTAGAGTGACATTGGGGCTGGCAGAACCCTTTCTTTGCTGTTGTCCAGCCCCCATAGTTATATCAAGGTGATCCTACAAGCTGCTGGATCTAACACATCTCTGATCCCAGGCTCCTGCTCCAGGCCCTCCTGAACTGACGCTGCTGTTCTTCAATATGTGACTGAATAGAATCCTGAGTGGCATTAATGTGCTTGCCCCAGACTAGGAGACAAAGAACAGCTGGTTTTGCCTGCACCTTGAGGCTCAGTCTGCCTGCCCCTTGCTGAGTGAACTTGATCAGCTCCCTCACTAAAAAAATGAAGGCTTGAACTGAGTGATCTCTAAAATCCCATCTTGCTCTCAAATCTTTTCTGATTCTTAGGTCTAGGAAAGTACTAGTGTTGGGCTCAAGGATCTGGCTCTTGGGGTCACATGTGATTCTGGTGGCAGGAGAAGGCACACACAGAGCAAGGGTGGCGGGCACAGGAATCCACACCTAGAGAATATGATGGCCCCTGCTGATCCTTTCCTTTCTGTTTTTCTTTCATTCATCCTTTCTTTCTTTTTTTTTAACCTAGTGTAGGCAAGATGAGAGTTTGGCCTTGGTTTTCTTAATATTCTTAAGTATTCAAAATGCAGCCCTCAAACATGTTGGTTTGGTACATAACTAACCAGATAGTTTACCATGGACACAGACACACAGACACACACACACACACACACACACACACACACACATTTTTTCCTAAAACACAGCATAAATATTTCTCACAATCACAGATTTTTTGAGTCACTCTGATAAAGTTTTTAAGGTTTAAACCAAACCAGTAGAAGAAAGTAAAAATAAAATAAATGAATTTTCTTGGAACTTCTGAAGGAAGAATCCTATACTTGGATGCAATTTAAACTGACAGAAATTATTGCAACCTGTTGCATTTCTTGAATTTAACTAAAAATCACTTATTAACAAAGTAATATTCAATATTTAAAAATTTTTATTCCAATACAAGAGAAAGTACCATTTACCAGCCTTTTAGAATAGGCTTTTGCTGGGCATGAACAGTGCCTCCACTATCCTATCACAGAAAGGGAACCACACCGAAGCTTCATTTTCTCACATTTGATAAAGGACAAGGCAGAACAAGGCTGCTGTCCCTCCTGCCTCAGAGCAGGCACCCAGTGTGGAGCCTTAACCATCTGCAGGGTGCGTTTCCGAGCCTGATAACCTTTCTCTCACCCTGATGCAGGCTTCAGAAGGGCCACCTTCCTGCAAGCGAGGATGAGAAACAAGACAGCCAAACCTGTACCCTGGGCTCTGTGCAGCATGGTTTTCTACTTCTTTTTTTTTTTTTTTTTTTTTTTTTTTAAGTAAAATAAACTGAACTTCCAACTCTTGCAGCCAGTTCACTGTCTCTCCTCTCCCCCGCCACAAGCCATCTGCCTTGGGCATGCTGGGGTCCCCACCAGGCAGCCCTATCTAATAGGAGCCCTTTGAGCATGGCCCTTCCCCACCTGCCCTTTCTCACACTCATCAGAGTCAGGACTCATCCTGCTGATTCACATATTTTTGCCCTTTGTCATGTACGGAGAAAAGGAAGGATGAATGGACGGTCTTTGGTTGGTGGCGCTGGTGACGCCCATCCTGGTCCTCTTTGGACAGACCCATTTGGAAATAACGCTGGTGAGGCAGACCATGAAGGCTTCGTTCAGCTAAGTTTGGCCCTGACCGATGGGCAGCAAGAGCAGGTATGCTTCCGTCCTGCAGTCTCTGTCTCGGGAAACCTGGGAGCCTGCCACAGGCACAGTGTTGCTCTTCTGAGCAGACCCAGGAAGTGGGGATCAGCAAGCTCTGCTGAGAGTGGGGCTGTGGCTAAATCAATGGCACAGGGAGACCCAGGCCTGAAAGTTACAGGACAAGCCCCATAGTCTAGGGCTGGACGATCAAGCTGGGAGTTTTGACAGCCTTAGAAACACCAGGTAAACATAGTCTAGGGTTTATGTTTATCTTCCTCTTTTTACAATTCCATTTACTTTACTGTCCTCGCCTCTCAGTTGAATTGTAATGGCCTTTTGGGTAAGGTTTGAGTGTTAGTTAGAAAGTCTCTTTCCAGAGCCTTCCCACATAGGATACGTGGTTGCAGGTCTTCTAGCTTGATACAACGCTAGAGTGAACTATTGGTTTCTCCTAGCCAGTTCTGACACCTGAAGGAGGTGTCAGAGATCCGAGGACTCCAGAAGGATTCCTGGTTCAAAATAAATGAATAAAGGATTCTTGGAGCCTCTGGAACACAGCTGTTACTTGCTCAAGTCAGAAAAAGCCCCTTCTTTCTATGATATTATAGCCGTCTAACAGGCAGGTATTGGAGACACAAATCTCTAAGCCTTTTCAAAATTGGGCTGGATTTGGATGAAAAAGTGTTCACTTAACTTGGAGTGGCTCAGAGGGGGACTCAGGATATTCAGGTTCTCAAACAAGCCTGGCCAGTTCTGTTAGCAGGTTTCAAATCTCTATCTCCAAAATCTAAGGAGATAGAGTATTTAAAACATTCTAAAATAAATATATACTGTAATTTCTTTTCTTTTTTATTTTTAAAGAATACAAAATAGTGATAGAAAAAAAAAGCTTAGAAATGATACACATTCTCACTAAACAAAGCAATAGGAATTCAACGATGGTTGCTGTATTACATTATGCTATCTTCAAATTAGTTGTTCAGATTACCAGATATAAACATGTAAGATTTGTTAAAGAAAAAAGTAAAGCAAAACAACAACAAAGAAGTTATAAGAAATTCAAAAGAGAAAAAAATCAGAGTAAAAAATATTTAAGCATTAACTGCTCCTTTCAAAAGACTATGCTGGAAATTTTGATAACATGCATTTGTTTATTCTGGAATTTGCTTTTACAGTATGTGGAAAATGCCACTTTGGTGTTCTCCTCTACAGCTGCCACTTTTAGGTCTTGATCTGTTTAGTTCTAGAAACTCAAGGCAATTGTATTTTGGAGCGACTCATCATTGCCTGAGCTGAAGCCCAGTGCTTCTCATGCCTGTGGTTTTGAAAATGGGTCACTGAAGTTGATAGAAAGGTTTAACCAGGCAGGTAAATTATGAGATTTAAAGAGGGAGATAGCTGAGTGAATGATATTATTTAGCTTGTGAAATAAAAGGTAATATTTCATAAATACTTAATGACTCAGTTTTACATCTTTAACTATGGAATTATCTCAGTTCCACTGAGACTTAGTTTGGGCTCCTGGCCTGCAGTTTTCAATGTAGGAAATTTTTAGTACAAAGATTCACTAGAAGTCTGACAAATGTTGGTTTCTAACACTGATTTGCCAAGAATGACCTTAGTCAGGAATGCATTATATAAAAGGCTTTTGCTTTGTTCAATGATTAATGATTTGTCATTATTTAAAAGCAGAATGATTAATTGGGCAGTGAACAATACAGTTGGAGTATAATTGTTACTTACTAATAAATCAATACAGTTTATTTCTGTACTGGAACTAATAGAAATCTAACTTAGAATGAGGCTGTCAAAACAAAATGAAAAGAAAAAAAGACATGATTCTACAACTATTCATTAGTTATTTGTTGGATTTGGCAAATGGAACAGGAGGGCCAAAAGGAGCCAGCGTTGTGGCTTCTCTATCCACATTTTTCAGTCTGATTGTTTTGAGTTTTTTCTGTTTTCCTTTGACCTGGCTACATACTTAGGGTGGCGTGATCATTGTCTTTGTTCCATTGCCTACTTCTGGGACTTTGTCATTCATTGATATTCTTTTACATCCATCAGCACTATGATGGGGCATTATTTGATGTATCATTTTTTGTCCACAGGGGATCATGTTCTTATGATGTTGTTGTTTTCCTGTTACACACTTACTATAAGCACAGGTTATAATTATACCATTCTTAACTTCCCAAAGTATGAGACTGTGATTAAGTCCTGTACATCCTACATCATTAAATCCTTAGATTATAACTCTGGGTTTTGCAGTATTGTCCATTTTAACCTTTCTTAGTTTTAATACCTTTGTGGATAAACATTCTTGCTTATTTTTACACACTTAAATAAATAGTGGTGAAGACAGTTGCATGAAATAAGAACAAGTTCAAGCAATCTTTGACTTGAATAGTGGGTGTGAGGGATTCTTAGACCATTGACACACACAAACTATCTTAAAACTTTCTTCCTTTTCAAAATTTGAAATAAAACTGGTATTTTGAAAAATAAAACTTTAAATTAAAATGCCTACTTGTCTTAGAAAGTAATCAACCAGTTTGTACTAGGGAGTGGCCACCTTGTAACCTGATTTTTTGCTCCTTTAGTTGACAGTATGAAACACAACCTTTTATTTTAGCTCTTTCTATATTATTATTTAACTTGTTATATTGACATTAACTGTTTTTCTTTCTTCTTAACTACACTAAACTACCTGAATGCAGGAAGTAGGGGTTCAATTAATGTATGTTGAACTACAAACTGAACCATATTAGAGCCCAGAGCCTTCTTATGATATAGCATTGAAGATGTTGGTGCCAACAGTAGGGTGGAGTTTGAGTTTGGGTCATAATCTCCATGACAATATTTTAAGAGAAAAGGGGCACTGTCTTAGTCCCATGGCATAGTGTGGTCCACATAAATGCCTTCAAACTCATTTTTGTGGGTATTATGAGCATGTCCTAAGCTGGCCAACCTGGAGAGTTCTAAATTAGGGTACTTATGAGCTCTGTCCTTCCCTCAAGGATTCAGAGGAAGAAGGGGCCATGGAGGATAACCCCACAATGGTTAAACTGGATCTGCCTGAAACCCAGGTCCCATCACATCGAAGGAGAAGATGTATTCCCAAGGCACTTGGCTATGTCACTGGTGATATGAGAGAATTTGCCAGATGGCTCAAAGGTATTTATGCATTCATCCCTTGGAGAGAGGGGAGAAGTAGGTAGGAGGAAAGGGTTAGCTGGTGTTTCCATAAATAGCCAATGTATTACTCTCTATTTTTCTACTTTTTATCTTATAACTTGCAAACTGCTTCATTTTTCTTCACGAGAACAGTGGTAAGGGGCAGGCTTCTACTCCTATTTGAAGAAAGTACCTGGTGTCATCTTGTAATTTCAGCATTAAAAATAAAATTGTATGATAAGTAATTAATGCCTTTGGTTTAGCAGTTAGATGCTTCCTGAGGCTCTAGAGTTCAGTAGGGGTAGTGTGGGTTGAGCATAAAAATATTAAGTGATTTTGGGGATCTCTGTGTCATTCAAGGGGCAAAGGATTCAGAGGAAAGAAGCTTCCTGGGGTATGAAACATGATTCACATCCAGGAGTTTGTGATGATTTTGTTCGGGTTGAGTGTGGAGGGGGCCAGAGATTTAGTTGTTCTGTTACTTTCTCAGATGTGTTCGTCTCTTCTCTTTCAGACAAACCTGTGGTGCTCCAGTTCGTTGACTGGGTTCTTCGGGGTATATCCCAAGTGGTGTTCGTCAGCAATCCCATCAGTGGGATCCTGATCGTGATAGGACTACTGGTCCAGAACCCATGGTGGGCTCTCAATGGCTGTTTGGGAACAGTGATCTCCACTCTGACAGCCCTCTTGCTCAGCCAGGACAGGTAGGCATGTCCCTCTATGCCAGCTCTCAGCTCCTTTCTGAGACATTAGCCAACTAGTCATTGTGGGCACTGGTGACAGAGCCACACCTTGCCCCACAGAAACAACCTTTATTCCACAGAGCTCTTCCTATTTGCCTTGAGTCAGAGGCCAGGGGGGTCATTTACAGTTTCTTATTCTTGTTATCTGAATAAATGGCCAGGTTAAAGGATGCCAAGCTCTCATGACAGTGCGTGGAAGCTGGAACCAAGCTATCAGTCATCCCAGGGAGAGGTTTTAAGAGACCTTCAATGATTGCGAACATTGATTTTCATTTGCATTTGGTTTATTTGGGCAAAAATGTGTATGAATTCTTGAAAAGTGCTACTGGCTTAATTGCTTGCTTTATATCCTGTTTCCATCACTAGTTTATCAAACTCATCCTTCAGAGAACCCAAAAGGTCAGCTCTGCTCTTGGGGAAACAAACAGCCACAAATTCTAGGACTGTTCTTGGACTGTGTCATACCAGTAGTCCTGCATTGTTTTGATTCAGTGAAATATGACCAACCCATTTCCTTGGCAGGCCCTATTCAGAAGACAAGTCATGTTTACATGCACTTGCCTTCAAATCCCTTTTACTTTCCTCAATCCTAAAAGGCTAAAATAACAATCCAACATGCAAATGATTTAAAGGGCAGAAGAAAAGAAAAGGAGATAGCCTTTGTAGAGATGGGAAAGGGAACTAAGGATGGGGAAAATGAGAGGGAGGACATGGAGGAAGAGGGAAAGGAAAGTAAGAAGGATCAATGTGCGATATTTATATGTACAAATATCCCATCATAAATATATTCATTGTGTATGACAAACATACACTTACTAAAAATATTTTTGCTGACAATTCTCACTGGGTGTAGTGGCACACATCTCTAATCCCAGTACTCTAAGAAACTGAGGCAGGAGGATCACAAATTCAAACCCAGCTGGGATAACTTTACACCTTAATAAGACCCTGTTTCAATCTTTAAAAATTATGCAAGGGCTGGGGATGTAGCTCAGTGGAAAGTCCCTGGGTTCAATACCCAGTACTGAGAGAGAGAGAGAGAGAGAGAGAGAGAGAGAGAGAGAGAGAGAGAATTCTGTTTAAGCGACATGTTGTCCTATCGCTTTGCTTTAACTGTGGCATTCTGCAACTTGTAGACAGCGCCATCCAGCTTCAACATATCAAACTCAAACATTAAAGCTCTAGACCAGTGGTTGGGGAGAACGAGTCTTTGCAAGCTCACCACTGTCATCAAGGGTAGCTCCAATTTCTGGATTACACAGACACAAATCACATCACCTCCCACATTCCCTGGAGGATAATCTAAGGGAGACAAAGACTTTCGGAACAATGAGTCCCACCTCTAATGTTCTCATGCACATGAATGGACCTGACATCTCATGTGCTTCACTGGCGCCTCCTGGCCCAGTAAGAAACAAGCCAGGAAGTGCCTGTGCCGCCCCTTCCCACCCTGCTGTGTGGCTCTCTGGCTGCAGCCCCTGCCCTCAGGCTTCTCAGTCAACCTCACCCACTTCTGTCACAGCATTGCCTTTGAGTTCAGGACTTCAGGGAAATAGGACCTGTGATGCCAGACATGCCAACTCAGGTGGGATGGGACTCACTCTATGGAAATATTTCCTCTTCTCAGTGTTTCTAGTTCTCACCATGAAACAAGAACCATTATGGCCCAAGAGCAGTGTGCCTGTAGGACAATATTTCCTCGATGTTTTTAATTTTTAAAAATTAATTCATTTCATTGCTACATTTGATGTATACGTAATGATCATCACATTGGTCATAGGGAATTTGTCCCTATATATACATGATAGATCTTGATTCTTTCTTTTCCCCTTCCCCTACCTTCCCTTCAACACCTCTTCCACTCCTTATTTACAAAAGCTTTGTTTCCATTGTTTCTTTTTTCCCTCATTTTTTTCTTTTCCCTTCCTTCTTTTCTCCCTCCCCCTCCCTAGTTTCTGCTTTGAGCATTTTCTTCCTATTTCACAATATCTATTATATACTTTGGTACTTATTTACACTTTACTTTCTCATACCAGAGAAACTGCGATATTTACACATGTGTGTCTGATTTATTTCTCTTAAGAATCTGATCTCAAGTTCATCCTCCTTTATGGCTGAATAGTATTCCATTACATAAGAAAACCATGTATTCTTTATCCATTCCTCAGTTGATGGGCATTTAGGTTGTTTCCAAGATTTAGCTATTACAAGCCACACTGCTAGAAACGGGTGTGCATGCATCTCCCCACAGAGCAATCTTTAGAAGTGGGTCAAATTCCAAACAGAAAGTAGTTTCAAAAGAGTCAGGAGCTAAACATGCACCTGATTGTGTGCCAAGTAAAAGAAAGGTAATTTTTCTTTTTTTGGCAATAACTTGGAAATGTAGCTTTAGAGACAAAAATATAGAAGCACAGGAACATAAAAATATAAGCTAAATTGGAAGAGTAACATTTACAGCACTACGAAAGGGAAGTTCCATTTGAGAAATCACATATTTCTCACCAAGAAATCAGACTTAGGAAACAACTTCATATGCAAAACGCTCTATCCACCTCTGAGGCCCTTGATGACCTAAATAAATAATAACTTTCTAAATGAAAGACTGAAAGCAGATGCCAGAGACCTGCCCTTCACTGCAGCACCTTGGAGGGGGTTGTTCTGTGTGTGCTTTTATAGTTGTAGCTGTAAATACTTTATTTCTCATTTTATCTAGCATTTGCATGGTTCTTAGTAGGCTTTGAAACACACGTCCAAATAGCATTTGTTTTCAAATGTAAATGGATCTAAAAAGTGCCAAGTCTTACTAACTTGAAGGTCTCACCCAAGGCCCCCCCAACAATGTCTCTGTCACTCTCTTGCTCACAGGTCGGCCATAGCTGCTGGGCTCCACGGCTACAATGCCATATTGTTGGGGATACTCATGGCTGTCTTTTCAGACAAGGGAGACTACTTCTGGTGGCTGTTACTGCCAGTGTCTGTTATGTCCATGACTTGGTAAGTTGTGCTTGGTTTTCAAACTGACTTTTTTTTTTTTTTAATTTTAAGGAAGGGTCTATAGGGTGTTCAGGGTCCCACTACTAGATCAGACTCATAGTGATCTCCTGTCAAACTGACTTAAAAAAATTATAGCGGCAGGAGAGAATGAGAAGTTGTACTGAATAAGGTTCAGTTTTATCAAATGAAAAACATTCTGTGTGTGGATGACTGTGGTAAATGTACTTAATGTTATCAAACCACACTTAAAAATAGCTATGGTAAGTGAATAATTTTTAAAAAATATATATTCAAATCTAGGTATGTTGGCACATGCCTGGAGCCCCAGAATTATGGGAGACTGAAGCACCAGAATTACAAAATTGAACCCAGCCTGGACAGCTTTATGACTTAGCAAGATGCTGTCTCAAAATAAAAGACTGGGCTGCAGCTCCATGAGAGAGTTGTGGGTTTGGTTCCTACTTGCACACACACAAAAGTGTGTATTTCCTTCTGATCTGACACTTCGGTCTCTTCTCCCATTCTGATACGTGCTCACACCACCTTCCCATCACATGGGGTTCTCGGCCAGGGCTACACACTGAACTCCAGTGCAGGTGACCCCAAACACATCACACACACTCACAGCCAGCCAGGTTCTGATGGAATCCGTTAGGGCTGCTGCCTACACATTGGAGTTTTGAAATCTCCTCAGGGGATTTGAAAGTATAACCAAGTTATCATCCCTTCCCTATATCAATGGTCCTCAAATTTATCCATCACAGGTGGGTGCAGCCCCTCCCCAGCTTTCTCTTTCAGTCTGGAGTGGGGTCTAAGAATCTACATTTCTATTAAGTTCCTGATTACACCAATGTGGTTGGTCCAGGAACCCTGCTTTGAGAACCACCATCTTCACTTAAACTCCCCTAACCCACCAGCTTGAACCCCCATCAATTTTATTGCACCACATGAACCCTTGCCTGACCAATTCTTTCTTTTCCAAAAATAAATAAACTAAAGACAAGTGACATGACATGCACCAAATGCCAGATCATAGTCACTGCTAGTGGGGAGAAAGGAAACTACGATGGAGGAGTGTTCACACGGCAACTTTACTACGTGGATCATGTTTTAAGTGCTTCAAAGATGTTTTTTAAACCTTGATAAATAATGCACTCTAAGTAACTTCAGAGTATAATTTTCAAAGCCAAATAAGCTAAGAACAGGGTTGGGGCTGTATTTTGGCACAATTGTCTCTATGGTAGGACTTATTTCAGGTTCTCTTTCAGTAGACAGCTGGCCGACATAACACCCGAGTGCCACACTGGCAGATGAAACAAAGCTATCTATGGAGTAGAGATTCAATCAGTCAACCTGGTTGTTCACCACATGCAGATTCTTGTCTTCTGTTTCATTTCAGCCCCATTTTCTCAAGTGCGTTGAGTTCAGTATTCAGCAAGTGGGATCTCCCTGTCTTCACTCTCCCTTTCAACATGGCGTTGTCAATGTACCTTTTGGCCACAGGACACTACAATCTCTTCTTTCCAAGTCAACTGATCACACCTGTAAGCAAAGTCCCCAACATCACCTGGTCTGACCTCAGTGCCGTGGAGGTAAGATACACCCCCTTCTCACATTCCCCTCTGCCTCTGGAATATTCCCATGTCCTCCTGGTTTCAGATGCTCAGCTCCTCAATGCCTTTCTACCTGTCTAAAATATTTGTTCTATTCCATGCCTTTGGGGGCCTAAGGGACTTTTGGGGGGGGGGACTTTTTTTTTTGAGACAAGGTCTCACTGTGTATCAGAGTAGGCTCACTGTATAGCCCAGGCTGGCCTTGAACTCCCAGTGATCCTCCTGCCCCATTAGTGCTTGGATTAGAGGCCTGCACCACCACACCTGGCTATTAAGAGAGTTTCTTAAATAACTATTTGATCAAAGCTAATAACCCCTTCCCCTCTTTTTCTACAAGTCTGCTGTATCAACCCCAGGGTGTAGCTCCAGGGAAGTCATGCTGCTGTGAGCTTGGCCTTGTGGGTAATATGATGGAAGCTGGCCCTCCAGGCAGGTAGCCTCTTCCGTGGTGTGAAATCTTTCAGGGCTGCTCCCCCAGCCCAAGGACCTGGGCGCTTACTCCTAGAGCTCATGGCAAAACTCATCCCTGCCTTTTCTTATGATGTCCATTATAGAATACAGTAACTCAGGCTTCTCAGCTTTGGTAGCAGCAGCAGCATCACCCAGGGAGTTATTTAACTACCAAAACAAGCCCCATCTCAGACTCCAAAGCCATACTCTCCAGAGGTGAGCCTGGGAAGCTGTATTAACAAATTGTCCAAATTGTGGTAGGGGCCAGAGTTTGAGAACCACTATATCACAGTGTGCACACTGTACCACACTTTTTGGTGGGCATGGAGACAGCATTTACTTCTAAAAACATGGTTAACCACATCAAATTCTAGCTCTTCCTGCTGGTGTTTATGTAGCAAATCTGCTCAAGTTTTCTCGAGTCTTGAGAACAAGAGAGTCCTTGAACTCAGATGCAATCAAAGAAGCTTTACCTCTTTTAATGCACTGAGGACTGGTTCCTCCACTGTCAGGTTACAAAGCACCCTTTGCTGTCCTCCTTGCTGAATGATCAAAACACAAGATGAGCTCACCCAGCCTTTGCTTTAGGGTTTTTGCCCAGAAAATGAATTGCAAATAGTTTAGGGGAGGAATTAAAGATTTATTAGAACTACTCATGACAGATAATATGATGAAGCAAAATGAATACATATGTATGCTCATGTAATAACCGTTAGCCCCGTGTAGTTATCTAAATTCAGATGCAATTCAGTTGCAAACTCTGCTCCTCAGTCTCACTAGTCGCATATCACGTGCTCAGCAACCACCACCCCAGGACCCACCACACTAGCAGCACGGAGGTACACTCCGCTGCTGTCATGGGAGGCACTCTCAGCTATGCTGGCCTGGGACAGGGGAAGGTCAGCCTGGGGCAGAAGGTCACCCTTTCCTCATTATGAACCCATTGTTAGCACACTTACTGACCATACCACCCAGGTTTCCTACCTCTTGGCCACCTGAGGGATAGTTACACTGTCAAATTAAGAGATT